TCTCTCTCTCTCTCTCTCTCTCTCTCTCTCTCTCTTTGAACTTAGCCGCTTAGGGCGGCAGATGTGTTTGCCCATCCGTAGATGGGTTGTCGAGGTTCGACTTCCTAATGAGTCAGTGGAAGTCCGACGAAACAGTCTGTCTAAGTCCTGCTTTTTTTTTTCTGCCCGTTCGTCCGAAACGAACGGGCACGCAATCTCTCAAAAAAAGGAAAACAAAAAGTCAAAAAAAATCTAGACAAAATCTTAAAAAGAAAATCTAACTGAATCTAAAAAGAAAAAGAAAAAGAACTTACCTAAATCAAGGCTGCCCATTTCCAACAGGCGCTTGTCACATTGGCTGGGGACTAAAGTGCCCCAGTCACTTCATATAGCGCCATGTGACGCTTCATGTCAGTTTAGTTTTAGTTTTTTTTTTTTTTTGATTTTGTTGGCTTAAGCCAACAGTCGTCCTCAGACCCCTTCGTGGCTTTTCAGCCACGCACTATCACGGTACAGATCCGAGTTCGAGTCCTTATGGACTCGATGAAAATTTATATATATATATATATATGTATATATGTATATTTTTACGCGTGTCATCCTTGCGCAGGCCCATATAGACCTCCGCGCTGCTGTTTTCAGCCGCACGATCTCAGCGATCGCACTGCTGAAAACAGTCGCGCCAAAAGGTTGGGCTGCTCCAAAAGGAGCTAGTCCAGTTGCCTGTTGTCGGGTTCGATCCCTATATCTACGGGGTAACAACCTCGCTACGGTACCTACTGGGCTAGCTCCTTTTCACATACAGGAAGGAGCAGCCCTTCTATATAAAGGGCTTCTGCCGCCCAGCAGGTCCCTGTACGGCGCTTAGCAGGCTTTGCCCGCTAAGCCAGTATACCACCATGGCTGGCTGGCTGGGTTAGCGGCCGACGGCCTTAACAGCTACCCGACCCAGCCGGCCCCAACGCCATCACCCCCGATCCTTGGCGCAAAAGTCATGCGGGCCTTAAAACTATCCCTCACGCTGCGTCCCATTCTCGTCGCAACCACTCCGTTTTAGCCCGCTTAGGCCCTGAATCGGTTGCTAAGCCGCGCGGCATTATTTTTGGGTAAAATAGGTCTAACTTTAGTCTTTTCATAACCGCGCACCACCGCGACCCTGTTGGAAACCATGGACGACAGGCCGCACTGCCGACTCCCGCTGTTTCGAACGAACGTCAATGACGTCACGCGTCAACGACGTCCTGCGTCATCGAGGCCGGGCTTTAGGTTTCTTAGTTATTGGTTTGGTCTGAATAACCTTTGGCAACATCAATCTCATCAAGGCTTTCAATCCAAGCAAGGGTCGGGCAGTGTCTGACCTTGAAAAACCCGGGCAGAAACCCCTGTCCCGACAGGCTTCCCGGCCCCCATTAAGTGACGTCCCAGTCGCTTACCATAAGGCAATACAAGGGGAAGTTTTTATAAGACCTCACGAAATATATTACATAGTCATAATACCTCTTGAATTAACCCAGATTTTGCATACTTATACCTGATGAGCGATGTTTCCGTCGTTCGTCTTTCTTTCCTTGCCTAATCTTTTGGATACCCTTCTTATGAAATACTCCGTGCAGAATTCATTACCGTCAACGAGAATGGCTTACTTTCAAGCCTTTAATAATTCTTTCGAACCTTCCTTCGAAAGCACTTTCATTCAGTCACGAGTTGGAATGGGGTCATAAATAACCTCTAACAGGCCTTTCCCCGGAATCTGGAATCCACCGCCGGCGTTACCCAGCCTGAGGAGTTACAAAAGTCTTTTAGAAGAATAATCCCAACATCATTTCACTGACGGCCACTCATCTTTCCTTTTGTCTCTCATAGATGGGTCAGGCTTATCCCCCTGATGGGACTCTCTTCAGGCTATAGCCCCCTGTCTAGGTCTCGTCAGGCTTAACCCCTGCAGGTCTTTCATCATACAGCACATACTGCCAGGAATTTAAACTGGGTCTCTCATGTTCGTGGGGGTGCATTCCTAACACCTCAGCATGTCTCTCGCTGCCAGGAGTCTTAACCCGGGCTCCCCACTAAACACAAGGGTACTTACACTATACCACAGCATGTGTCGGTACCATCCGAGAGAGAAATCACCCTTTCAAAAGTCCTTGTCCAGTCCGGTTAATTCCCAGTCCAACTTAATTGTCATGCACGATTTATCTCCTACATGTATTGTGAATGCATCGAGGAGTGGTGTAATCCATAGAGGATAACATCTCGACGTCAAGCCCCGCTTTAGAGTTGAGCCTCACCACTTTTCCTCCGATTCCAGTGTCATACATCCGTTAGTACCCTACCTGCAAGGTTGAACTACCCCTCCCTTATGACCCAAGCTAATCAGACCCGACCATAAAGTCGAGGCGACGCCATTCACCACAAAAGAAAAAGGTGATCAATCTTCCCCTCATGGCGAACGGTAATCGCCACCCTCACAAGCAAGGTTCCAACAAACATATTACCACCTTCCTTCCTTTCGACGATAGTGTAGTCACTCTCCTCGAAAGGAAAGGCGACAACATTCCGCTATGGACCAGGAACAAAGTTCCGGCGCAGGCCTCACTATCGTCTACGGGGCTCACAACATTAGGATTCCTCACTCCATGACAATTAATACAGAGCCAAGTCATAAGGTAAGATAAATAATTGAATCACATGTCTGACGAATAACACCTGGTACTCCAGTCAGGCATATAACCCAAGTACAGATCATCCCCCTAGACTTGCACCGACGAAATCTCGCATTCATAACCACATACACGGAGTCCCATAAGAATTCCAGGTTTTTTCAGTCATTCACGTATGTGACGAATACGTTAACAATATAAGTATCCATCAGCTATTTCACAATACACTTCTTGCAATGAATATCCAGTCATGATAAGAATCTCACAAGGTCCTTTGGTATCACTCTCTTATCTTACAAATAACATTCAGTACCTCTTATGCATAGCGACCATTRTGAGAAAAATATCATGATCATCTTACAATCCTCTGTGACAGTAAGGCACAGATCCATTATAAAATTTCAACAAAACAACAGGAATTACAATCCCATCGATAATTTTTCAATATCAATACTTTTATTAACACTTTACAACTTCCTCGGTTAGCCTAAGGTAAAAGTCAGAATCTGCTGAACCACAGTACGAGAGCAAGAAGAATTACCAAAATTGACGCCACCAATTACCTCCTCTACCCTTCCTTTCTAAAAAATTTCACTAAACTTTTGGGATAAACTTCCGTAGATGTGCACCCGATACCCAATTCCTACCCCGAGATCCATCCAACTCCTCTATTTCGTATGCCCCATGTTCTGTTTTCCTAGTGATCCGATATGGTCCCAACCAC